TTTCACAAATTTATTTGTACATCCCCTAGCGGAGACGCTTTCCAAAATTTTTTCGAGACACTGTTGGAAGGTCTCGGGGTTAATGCTAACCTCAAACTTGGGTAATTAAACCGAAGAATGGGGCCTCTGTCGCGCTATCTGGAAGAGCCGTGTGCCAGATGCCGCTTTTCCCTACGAGACACACGAAAGGTACACACAGTCGTGTCGTCTCGCGTCTCTGCGAGTGCTGATGCTCTCTGGTGTTCGCGGGGATCCCCTATTTCAGCTGTCTCTTACAGCCCCACACTCGCTTACGACCATACCACGTTGAAAACACGGCATCCCGTCCGATCTGCGAAGTTAAGCAACGTTGGGCTCGGTTAGTATTTGGATCGGAGACGGCTTGGGAATCCCGAGTGCCGTAAGCTTTTTGCATTTTTGTGGACCTTTCTAGAGACTTGGGAATCAATCTTTGCATAAAGAAAGTAACTTAGGGATCATTTATTCTAAATTATTAAGCTCATTTGTGCATCCCCCAGCGGGGACGCTTTCCAAAATTTCTTGAGACACTGTTGGAAGGTCTCGGGGTTAATGCTAACCTCAAACTTGGGTAATTAAACCGAAGAGTGAGGTCTCTGTCGTCCTATCTGGACGAGCCGTGTGCCAGATGCCGCTTTTTGGCAGGAGACACCCGAAAGGTACACACAGTCGTGTCGTCTCGCGTCTCGTCTGCGAGTGCTGATGCTCTCTGGTGTTCGCGGGGATCCCCTATTTCATTTCATCCGTCTCTCACAGCCGCACACCGTTTGGAAGTTTGCCTTACAATAACCAAAATTTGTTAGTACTTTGAAGAAAAAAGACATTTAGGTCAAAAAGCATTCGTAAAATCATCACTGAAGACTTTTCTCAACCATCTGCGATCAACTTGATCAAGCTCAACGTTTCGAAAGCGCTGAAGTTCAAAAAAGTTTTAAATGATTTTCCCAAGATAAAACATAAAAACTAAAAAATCAACGAATTATCATTTGAAACTAGAAAAGACCAGATCGAAAGCTTCCCTTATGAGTCAGAATAGTTAGAATTTCCATCTCTCTAGCTTTCTCCCCAAACGATAAGAGCCTCGTTGGGCAATTTTACGGCACTTTGTGTAAATTTCTCGCCCTAAAAGAGGTGTATTTTGAGAATGAATGAATTTCCCTGGCTCCCACCACCATGGCTCCCACCACCACAACAGCCACCACCATGGCTGAAGAAATAAAAGCAGTGGGGCAGTAAAAAGCTGTTCTGGTTACCAAGAAAACCGCTACCTTTCTGACAATTTGTAGCCCTCAGAGAGTCTCGGAATTGGCCCTGCTGGCTCTAAATCGTGCTAGTTTCTTTTCGGAAAGAGTAATGTTTGCTACATATATAACCAAGAATAGGGACTCGGACTTGGTGACTCTTGTAGCAAACGATCCTGAACTACAAGTCTGTATTGTACTGTGAATACAGCCCTTATGAGTCAGAATAGTTAGTGTCACGAAATGGTGTCACCACGACGCTAGCCGGTGGAAAGGTTTGCCAGAATGACTATCGAATCGTTTTGTACACTCTTTACTTACCAGAACTAATTAGAGAATACTAGCCAAAGAAATGTATAAGCAACTACTGAAGAATTGTTACAACAGAAGAAAGCCCTCTTATATTCCAGTGTCTGACTTTCTGCGATCAACGACCCAGCAACGTCACTCTTCTCGACTATTGCTACATCTCGTGCTATGAGCGCTTTGAGAACATGAAGAGTTGCTTCTGGTACGATGCTGTGAACCGATTTGTTTAACTGCCGCAATCTTTTGGGAACTAACCGTGATCTCATCATACCTTATGAACATATTTATTTAAAGAATAAATTTGAATTGTAATCCCCAAAACAACTAAAAGTTTCAAATTTTATCAACAAAATAAACAACAACTACCGGTTGAAAACATACAGAATAAGTGTAGTAATGATTCGAGGGATTCGAGTGATTCATAAAAATTCGGCATCTAATCCATTTGCTGGTCCACCGTCCGTTTCATATACTCGTCCAGCTGACGGTCAAGTTCCTAGACAAAAATGATTGTGCAACACCGCAAAGGATAATACCTCTTGAGAAAGTTTCTTATGCGACCATTTGGTGGAGGAAGTGGGCGATGGTTTATGCTTTGGTTTGACTTCAGAGGTTTCATCAGCTTGATCCTTAACAAGCAAATGCTATGGTATAAATTAATATAAACTACCCTATGATCGTGTTGGTCCCACGAAGGTCGGTCCGCGCTGAAAGTTTACACATTAAACATGTAAGTAATTCACATACGCGCTATCTCACTTAATAATTACAATCAGACAACAAAAACAAGCACAAAAAGTAAGCAATTCAATACGTTAGCTTAAAAAAAGTATCCCACGATAGACGTCCACCACTGTCACTGCTCCTTGACTTCTTGACACGTCCACGAATCGTTCGGTGAACTCTACCATCACCCCGCGAAGCTTTAGCGCGAGCAAACCTAAAACGAGCATCTCAAAAATCCCCAAGATAAACCTACTTAATGCGCTCACGAACCGTTCCGATAGTTATAGTAGAAACATCATCAACCTAAGAATGATTTGAAAAATTACTACAACATATACAAACCAATGTGATCTTGAGACGCTTGTCATCAATTGACGCGCCATGAAGATCTTTCATAAACTTTTGTGCGTCATCAAAGGAGGTAGCAAACTAAATCAATAACTTGAAAACAATTGCAACAGAAAAATACAAACTTGTGCCGTTCCAACTTGTTCGCCTTTTTCATTGTAGTGGACGAGAGGATGCTTGCCGTTGTAAGGCTCCACCAGTTCCTCCAAGTCAATCTGATTGAATTGTGGCGACAAATTGGCGAGAAGAATGCGAACAACAGCGGTGGGAAGCTTGACACCACTTCTGCGCCTCGAGTCTAAATACAAAAAATAGTTCTGAACATAAAAAAAGTGAAGAAACGTAGGTAGCTTTACGACGATAAAAGTTAGACCTTACTCGAGCTACGACTACAAGTAATAGACTAAAGTACACACCCTTGCGATCACGACCTGTGTCATGCACTCCTTCAAATCTGTCATGTTGCCAACGACCACTGAAACCGGATGCTCGATGACTACCAGACAAGCCACCCCTTGCGCTGCTGCGTCCACGAGAGCTAAAGTAAAATAACAATTATCGGCAAACAAGTACGCAAACTAACCCTTTCTTCTCGGCGACAATCTCGTCGAGTGCGCGATCAATCACAGTTGAATACATGAAGTCTAAAATAAAACATCAGAATATGGTCAAAGTCGATAGAGAAGAAACGAAAACGCATCATTAGGTTTTTTAAACACTTTCCGAGGGGTAAAGATTGCCGTTAAAGCATTCGTTCAGCAAGTTAGCAGGCTCGTTCAACAGGCTCAATGCACAAGACAGCAACTTGCTTTTAGAGAAATCTGAGGGAATTAGTGTTGAAAAGAAAACAAGACAAATGTTGAGAAAGTGCAGCCGAAAATGAAATAAAACCACGCGTTGAGTTAATGCGTAGTTTCGAAAAAGATACTAGATAAAGGGGGTAGGCTACTTTCCGCCATTTTATTTGCGCAACAGGGTCATTTGCGCAAGTACGTTTGCGCAACAAGGGTCATTTGCGCAACTTTTTTTTGCACAAAAAGGGTCATTTGCGCAACTTTAACACTGTATTAAGCACTCGAATTTTTAATCATTATTTTAATTTTTGAGCTTTTTTTATTGTTTTTTTATTTTCTTCTATTTTTTATGAAATCTTCCAATTTTTTGCACAATCTTCCAATATTTATCTAAATTAGTCCTTTCTAAGAGCTAATAACCATTAGTAAAGTATTTTATCGCTTTAACAAAAAAGTGCAACCGATAACAATGAAAGTTAGGACAACAATAGCAATGAAATTTAGGACAACAATAAAAATCAAATTTTTTTAATATAAGTCAAAAGCTGAGAAAGATGTTGCACAAAATCGCAACCGGGCAAGCGACCATTAGAAATAGCAGTAAAACGTTGCTTTTTTCGAGCCAATACAGTTTTCTTCCGTGTGTAGCTTTGTCCAACAGTGAGATTGATAGCCGATGAAAGCTTGAAACGGTTGATTATTTGCGTCATTTCTTCGTAAAGTCTGACCGCAGTATACGATGGATGCGGATTCTTGGGAAAATGCGGAAAATTAGTTAACAATGGTTTTTAAGAATAAACAAAACCGTACTAGAATTTTAAACAACAAAAAAAAAACGCCAAAAACTCCCTTAAAAAAACGTCCCTTAAAAACGTCAAAAAAGTTGCGCAAACGTACTTGCGCAAATGACCCTGTTGCGCAAATAAAATGGCGGAAAGTAGCCTACCCCAGATAAAGATATAAAAAAGATCCAATAGAAGCGTCGCGTAGTCCCTTTAATCCTTTTTCAGAGAAAAATTTCGCCACACTAAAATGCACTAAACTACCGTAACCCTCCAATTTTTGGAAATCAGCCGATTTCTTTGTTTTTTTTTTAATTTTCAAGGGAGTGGGACAAATGCGACCTTTTTTTGCGCACCTTGCCCATTAGCGCACTTTTTTTCGCGTTCTACGCACGCACAAATTTCGATTCTACGCCCTAAAATTACCTAGAAAAACAACTTTTGGAATAGAAATTGGTTAATATTAGCTTTTTAGAGCTTTTTTAGAGCTTTTTTAGAGCTTTTAGAGCTTTTAGAGCTTAAAACGCGAAAAAAGGTCCGCTAATGGACAAGGTGCGGAAAAAAAGGTGCGCAAATGTCCGGGTGCGCAAAAAAAGGTCGCATTTGTCCCACTCCCCTCAATTGAGTAGATCTCATGCTCATTTTGTAAATCAAAAACATCCTAGATATAGAAATTGGAAGCGACTTTTGTAGCTCGCCATTTGTTGTTTAACACGTACAGCTTGCCGCGTCTCCTTTCTTTTCAATTTTCATTTACACGTTGCGGATTCCCGCTGACAGTGATGTGTCCTGTACATATAGGGTAGTAGAAACAGGCCGTCCTAGCGAATTTACCCGAATCTTACCCATGAGCTGCTCAAGTATGCCCCATCTCAAACAAATTCTGCTCTCTCTCACCTCACAGTTGTGACAGTTCTTTAACCTCTACTCCCACTATGTAGCTCTGTTAATTTTTGAGCACTATTTTATTCTCGTCATTTATCATTCGTTATAGAACTTTTTAGATTGCATCATCTAGAAGCAATTGTGGGTAACGAGTTCACGGAATCAAGGGGAAGCGCCCTTGGTGAGTTTCTTTCTAAAGCATAAAGTAAAATGCATCTCGGTTTTCATTGAGAGCGCTTGTTAGCGTCAAAGTTAACGAGTTTCACTTATTTGCCATTAAAAGTTGGACTGGCTAATTTGGCAATGCAAAATCTAATGTGCTGTTTTCTGACCTGGGAAATAAAAGTAGTGCTTTATTCTAGTCCCTTTACATCTAATCTTTTAGGAAACAATGGCTATCCGGACACAAAGTGAGTCGGTAGAGACTGCGGCTCAGTCATCAACGCCACAAGAGGTTGCTAATATTTGAGTTCTATATCTTTCACTTGAATTTTTAGGAAGTACAACAACGAAAGAAATATAACATGCCAGCGGGATTTTGTCAATATGTGGCGGAGATGCAGAGAAATAAAAGCGCTTTAAACAAATTAAAGTAAGCTTTTCAAAGGTTCTAGCAAGTACACATTTTTATTAAGAGTGACGACCATGGACAACGGGTATCGATACGAAATGCAAGGCGACCAAAAGGGAAGCGAAGAAGAAACACTCCGACTTTTGCGTCATAATGTGGGAATTGATGTTTTTTGATGCGATTTTTCATAAAATACTTTAGTCTTTACGTGTTTTTTAGTACAATCTGCTACCTGCCGAAAGAAAGTTTGCGCTGGAATTGAAATACCGCAGTCAAAAAAGTTCATCAAAACGACTACGTATGGAGGCGACAGAAGGTATTGAAAGATTCAAACGACTCATCTTTTCTTTGAATTGTTTTACAAACGATAACGTATAGAAGAATTTCTAAGTAATTATAGGCAGACTGGCTCCGGTTGATGTAGAAGAGATCGGAAAATACGCGCACAGAAGCAATCCATCAGAGCTTGTATTTGCAAGCCATACTGAGCACAAAATGTTTATGACTAAACTGGTAGGTTGTTTCAACTGTGATTTTGTGTTAAATCAATAACTAGTAAAAATTGATGTTACTATCTAGAATCTGTACGATGAAAGCTATCCATTCTGTGACTTTTTCGGCTCGGAGTTTAACGAAGGGAAGAAATTTGACGGATTGCCAAAATTGACGCTTGTAAGTTTTCTCGCGGTAGTGCACGTGCTTGCAACGATAAATATGTCTATGCAATTGGGTACCAGTCAAAAAATCTAAAAACAGTTACTTTTTAGGTACATTTGCTGGCATATCCACATGCCGTGTTGTATGCATGTCACTTTTGTCTACATGCTTTCACTACATCAGACTTGCTGAATGTTCACGAATGCAAGGAATTTCGAGACTGGAAAAACGCACAAGAGTCACTTCAACCGGTCTATTTTAAACTCTACGCGTTAGAAAAAATTAGAACTTCCAACACTGAAAAATCTTTATTTTTAGCCTGAGATGGTGGAAGCTCGAGTATTCGTGTGTTGTACCGATTGCGGAAAGTACCTTCGTTGTCGATCGAGTGAAATCGAAAGTCTTCAAGAATTTGTCGTATGTGATTATGTGGTTTCACCAATTCAAAATGATTCAACCGTTTTCATACTTTTGTTCAGGAAGGACATTTGGTGAATCGAATCGTTACAATTGTGGTTAACTTCGCTGGACACACGCCAAACAAGAATCCAGAAGTTATGTTCAAGACTGTGCCATCGTTTGCAAGGCAATTCAGTGTTAGTTTTCGACATAGTAATTTAGGCAACGATATATGCTTTTAGAGTTCCTGTTCGCAATGTGGGACCGAGCCATTCACTTCTCCAGAAGAAGCTGTAGCTCATTTTTCGGATATCAACAGACATCCTGACACTCAGCAGAAAAAATGTCATAAATGCAAAAGGCCATTACCATTTGGCATCAATAAAAGGTTGAAAAACGTTATTATTCAACTAATATATGATTTTAGTGAACATCTCTTGAAATGTTACCAAATTTGCGATGAGCGCACGAAAAACTCGATTTTGTTGGCAGATTGGCTTTCAACAACCGCGCCGCTTTTGTGGTGGTTTGATAAAATGTATTGTAATATGTTTTTGTTCAGGGATGGAGCCGTGCAATGCGAAATGGACGGATCTCGTATGCTTCAAAATCTTGAAAAAGTGTCTCAAGAATATGTAAAATTTGATTACCGTACAAAAATTTTGTGATTAAGGCGGACCGTGAGCAGTCGCTAACTATTGAACGAATGCAAGCAGGGGAGAGGAGGGAACAAGAGGAACTATTTAGATTTCAAACTCAGCTGGTAAGTTATTAGTTTTGAAGCCTTAAAATAAGCTAAATGATTTTATATATTTATAAAATTCTGATTCATTGGTTTAGGGGATACCCGAAGAGACTCCTAGACACGGTGTATGGGCGCAAAGTACGGCACAGAGAACCTTTATCCGAGAAACAATAGCTCATACAGACTGCGAGCGGTCGGTTGACCTGAGCGTTTACGGAATTGGTGGCAATGTGGCCGATAAAGATTTCAAAAGTAGGGACAAACTATAGCTAATTCAGAATAAACAGCGTTTAGCTATCCGGCTCGTCTGTGGAGAGGAGCGCGCAGCAACGATGCTTAAAGAGCATATCGCACGATTTCAGGAGGACGTCATTTTAAATAGCAGCTTCCACAATAAAGTGCCTGCTGAGGAGTGCCTCGGAAAGTTTGTTGTTTCGACCAGAATGGAATCCAACTACTAGTTTAGATTGTATCTATGTTTGGGTTGCTACTACTTTGTGCACGGAGAAATTGCTTTGGCAAATCATCTGACAACTTGCCAACCCAATGAAGATCCGCGTGATTCCGTAAAAGTTAGTTTCGTTCATTGGATCTACATCAGGAAATTTAAGGTTTTCACAGTACATATGCTTGAAATCCAAAACATGACGAGACAGGCGTATCATTGCTTTCAATGCAGCTTCTACGGATGCTCTTTGCTTCCACTTCGAGTTCATCTTGCCACGAGGCATCAAATCGGAACGAATGTTTTGCTTGAAAAAGGAGGTAAACTCTATTCTGCTAATTATTTTATACATTTATGAGTGGGAAAAACCAGGAAACCATGTTTTCATTTTAGAAAGCTCAAAGGTTCGACCGACGGTTGGCATGCAATTCGATCAGACGCTTGGACTCGTTAATGGAAAATTGCCTTGTCAATCACCGTATGAAACCTCTAATCCTACTATGGCTTTCCAACTCGAGGTCGGGCGCTTTTTTTGAGTTTCGCAAGTGGAAGAAAGTTTAGACGCTTGTACTCTCTGAATCGTTAGATGAAGCAATGGGGAATTTAAAGGAAAAGATAAACTCCACATCAGCAGCGAGATCCGAAGAACCCATGCAAACAACGCCTATGGATACATCTATGATCGAAGAGATAAATGGTATATTTTTCTATTAAACCTTAAAACACTATCGTGTTTAGTAGCAACCGAAATCCAGGAGAACTTGCCGGAAGAATTGGAACCACAAGAAGTCATTCCAGCAACACGGTCAAATCCAGATAATGAGCAAACAAGAATTGGTAATCATTAAGACTTCATGGCGCATAACATTTTCTTTATAGCTGCAAACAACGAAGAAACGCTGGTAGAAAAAGCATCCGAGGCGCCCTTTCCAGAGGACGATCCAGTAATTTCAACAGAGCCAAATCCTAATACAAACGATGTGACAACCACGGAAAAGACGCCAGAAGATACAACTTCTCCACGAGAAGAACCAGCGCCCATTCAGACGGAGTCAAATTTGGATATTGTTATAGCCAAACCGAAGAATGGTAATCCTTGGAATTCTTCTAGAATTTATGGTTTTTTTTTAAGTTACAACTGATGATATCCAGAGCACATCGTTACGCACTGAATCTGACGGAACTTTAGCCAAAAATCAAACGGAATCGCGACAAATAGAGGACGAATTGATTATAGATCCTACCGAGGAAGTACAAAGTGTTCTGAAACGAAGAATGTCAAGTGGGTTTTTAATGTTTACGGCATTTATCTTAATTTTTAGTCGCTGTCAATTTGACGTCGTTATTGCAAGAACCGATTCGAGAAGAAACAAATTATGTGGGGGCCAAAGATAAATCTTCAAGTGCTAAGGACGCGGATGATGACGATATAATCCTTGTGGTGAGCACCTTCACATAAATAACACCATAACTAAAATCACTAGTTTGTTTGGGGTATGTAAATTAACGGAGTCATGAACTGTGCTCTTTTAATTTCCTAATTACAGGATGTTCCTCAATTAAAAGAAACCATTTCAAAGCAAATACAAGTAGTGCGCGCACCGAGCGACGACGCTGATTGTATGATTGAAGAAGTCGACACGAAGTAGGAGTTTTTCTTTTTTTTAATTTAAAGAAATTTAGCGCTGTTGGACGCCCCGTAAATGTGCTTAGCGTTAGAGAAAAGAAATATCAATGTACAAGATGCTCAGAAAAGTTCTTCACTGCAAACGGACATGATGATCATATTGCAGTTAAACATCGATTGGATGGCGGTAGCACCACCACAGTTAGCGTTGTAAGTAATAATGGTGATAATTTGAACGTATTGCAATCACTTAAGGAATATGGCATGCCGCTAATCAGAAGTCGGGACTTTTATATTTGCGTGCTGTGCTCCACTGTTTACGATCATCTTCCACTTTTTCAAAGACACATGTTTTCTACCCACGCTTCCTGGTAACCTTGTACGTATAACTGATCGATCTCCTTTTAGTCCTCCAATTGTTTGTCCACTGTGCTCCTTTGTTTCCTTCAACTTAGAAAGCGCAAAAACTCATTGGGATTTTCATCAAGCAAATATGAAAGTCGGCGGAATCCCATGGCTTTGCTTGGAGCATAACCTAGTCTTTGGAAAGGTATGTACATGTAGTTAGGATTCTCTTCTTAACTGCAATCCAGAATCAATTATTTAGGATTCGGAACTGTTGTTTCATGCGCAGAAAACTCACAACACGACTTTACTCTTTTTCTGCAAGAGGTGCTTCTTTGCTACACTGAATGAGATAACGATTGTAAGACATCTACGGGATTGTTGCGTCGTGGTACGTTAGCTGAAGTATATAGTTTATAGGCTTTTGTCTAGAAACCAACGACAGAAGTTTGGCCACAAACAGCATCTCTTCAAGGCGAAGCCGGCTTGGGTGTGGTTGCTGCCAACGCAGGTTTATTTTTGTGATATAAAATGTAATGTGTAAATGATGCTTTGTAATAGATAAACGTTTTTTTTAGTTCACTACCAGCCGCATGACGAAAAACAATGGATAATGGTATATTAGCGTTTCGGTCAATAATACAAATCGTATCAGGCTCTCAAAAGCGCTGGTCGACCTGAAACCGCCCACCCGTCTCTTTGCATACACAGGACGCTTCTGGCTCAAAATCACTCTGTTATCTTATGCAAAGATCGAGATTGTAACACTTGGGTGAGTGAATTTGAGAAAATTTGGACTATGTCAAGTTTCTTTACAAAATCGCGAAAAATAGCAATTGTTGAGTTTTTATCTTTATGTAGTATAATATGGTTTTAGTACGTTCAACCGACTTATCTGGCCACATTTGAGGAAGAAACAGATCGAGTCCTCGCCTTGCAGGTATCAAACAGATGCGTGACCGAAAATCCTTGGAAGGTTTTAACGAAATTGGAAGAGATGCAAAAGACGTAGGAATATATTCGACGTGCAAGAAATCTTTTGAAGAAATAGTTATTTTTCGTTCGTTTTCGTTATTTGTTAGAAATAAAAGTTGTTTTTGTTTGTAGCGTGTAGGAAGAAATTCAGCACCATCAATCTAGCATGACAATTTTGCTCTCCTGGACTAGACGTGTCAGAGCACTTTTCTCAACACACCACCTACGCTGTAGCGGATTAGAGTTTAATGCATTAGGCTAACCAGGTGGGGTGTGCAGGAATTTAGATTTTTACTTGCTATTGGCAAATGTCGTCATCTGGTGGATCCTGTTGCAGATTGGTTTCTTGATAGGCGTGTATAAATCTTTATTATCACATAATGGAATATTACCTTTCGGATTCATCCAACTTTTTTAGACGAAAAGTCAGCGAACATTTCTATAAAACAAATTTGCTGAAAATTTAATTAGCGATGACATGACACGTGCTCACCTCTGGGGTTTACCATCAACTGGGAGAAGTCCATAACGGAACCCGAGCAAACTACTGAGTATTTGGTAGCCCCATCGCGCCATCTCTGTCCACCCCACCAGCCAAAAGCAAAGCTCTCATCGAACTTATCAAAACCCTAGTGAATAGCAAGATTATCCGGCACGAGTAACGCAATCATCCTCGTAACGCCGGCATCAACGAGCCAGAAATCGATACCACAGGCACAAGGGCTAGTCACCAAGTCCGAGTCCCTATTCTTGGTTTTATATATAGCAAACATTACTCTTTCCGAAAAGAAACTAGCACGATTTAGAGCCAGCAGGGCTAATCCCGAGACTCTCTGAGGGCTACAAATTGTCAGAAAGGCTAAAAATCTTTAAAAAAGAAGTAAGCTTTACTTAACTAGTGGCTAGAACCTATTTATTCCAAAGAAGTAAACTTTACTTAACTAGTGGCTCAACAACCAACAACCTTTACTTCAGTTTTGTTCTCAACAAACACACCATGAATGTTTTTGAATGTCGAAATGCACAATGTTCAAAATCAAGTTCCTTTCACTCAATCTATCAATGGATTAACGAGAATAATCAATTTAAGTCGTTAAATATAAATTTAAAATCTTTATTGATGATTTTAAAAAAAAAACCCGTCATCGTTTACAAAACAATATTACACAACGAGAAAGCACTGAAAGAAAGAAAATCGTCGAATAATTGAATAATTGAATAATTGAATAATTGAAAATATAAGTGAAAAAGAATCGATATTTTTGAAAGAAAAGATAAATGATAATTGTTGGATTGTAAAATTCTCAAAGAGAATAAGCTAAAAAGTAGCTAAAATTCGGTGATTATCTTTTTGAAAACTATCAGTTTATTTTCTAAAAATTTCCTCTAAAATGAACTGATCGTTTACGAAAATTAGTGCAGAAAAGGGATAGGCTACTTTGCGCGAAATTTTTTGCGCAACTGGGTCATTTGCGCAACTAGGTCTTTTGCGCAACTGGCCATAACTTTCTTCTAAGTCGGCCAATCTTTATGATGTTGGTTTCATTTTGTTACACTTATTGAGATCTACAAAATGGAACCAAAATCATAAAGATTGGCTGACTTAGAAGAAAGTTATGGCGAGTTGCGCAAACGACCCAGTTGCGCAAATGACCCTGTTGCGCAAATAAAATTGCGGAAATTAGCCTACCCCCAGAAAAGAAAATCGAATACGGTAGGAAATTTGAAAACTAACTAAAAATACTAGAATACAAGAATATTCAACTCATCTGTAACCTATTTAGACACTACCATATTCTCTCTAATAGTCCTGTTCTAATAATAGTACACTCTAATAGTCCTGCTCTAATAGTGCACCCTAAGCTTCGCCTAAATTCCTTGAAATCTCGAAAACCGCTTATCAGAACCAATCGATGTATCGCTTATCAGAACCTATCGATCGATATACCTAATGTAGCTGGCAATGAGATTTTGACGATGATTAGAGTGCTGAGCTTTCTTTTTGTTCAATCCCAACTTAATTCAAGGAGTTTTTTTAGGGAAACGGTGAGTGGGATGTGACAAAGATCACGACGATTAACTTGAATCAAGGTCGAAGTAAATTTGTGTGTCTTGGATGTCAGATCAGTCTTGGATGTCAGACCAAAATGTCAGATCACACTTCTCCAAATATCCTCAGATAGGTTATGTGCTGAGCATTCGTCGAGTTCCCAACTTCTAGGTCTATGTGATCGCGCTGCCGTGTTTCATTCTGACCGTTTTGTCAGTGGTTGGGATATTCTGGACCCGTCACATCAAAAAAAGAGCAACTAGTTAAGTTGAGAGCATGTTGAAGATAGAAATTGACTATGTAGAATAAGTGAGAGTGAAGGAAATGTTGTTTGACTATGGCTACCGTATTCTCTCTAATAGTCGTACACCCTAAGCTTCGCCTAAATTCCTCGAAATCTCAAGAACCGCTTATCAGAACCTATTGATGTGGGGTCGGAAAATGTAGCTGATGATGAGATCTAGTGGGGAATTAGAGTGTTGAGCTTCTGGGAAAACTTTGGAAACTGTAAAATAGTCACCAACTCGGCTCGGTGCACTACTACTTGAGAAAATACGGTAAATTCGCTGATAAGCAAACTAAAAACCATTCAGTAATATCTAAAAAAGTCGCAAATTGTTTTGGCTAAATCTTTTCTATTCTACTTTTAAGAGACAAGAGTTTACAGTATTCTTTGACATTTCAATCGCCTCCGATTTCTTCTCAAATATTCCAATCACCGCGCAAGAGCTCATGCAACTGCTCAAGTCGATGCAGTTGACGATCGTCGAGAATACACAAATCCCAATCGTCTCTGAAAGCTTTGAAAGCTTTTACTATTACTTAAAAGAAATACTTACTTAAAAATTACTTACTTAAAAATACGGTAAGTATTAAATGAATATTCCGAATAGTTTTTAAATTTAAATCTCGAGATTGAAAAGTTAAGGTTTCAATTTTTACCGAATTAAGTAAATTTTTGTTTTTTCAATTCTGATCGGATTTAGATTGGAGCTTTTCAACTATTCTAAAGCCTCGAGTATAAGCTCATCCGAGTATAAGTTCTGCCTTAATTTACATTCGCTTTAATTGCTTTGAATTTCTTTTTGTTGGGTTTTTATACATTTTTATTGTTATGTAGACTTTTATTATTGTTCTTGGAGGGATACTACAGGGTGACAGCCTATCACCATTGCTATTTGTTATGTGCATGGATACATCCAGACGATAGTGTTGAAGAAGACGCTTGAAAGGCATCTCTTTCGACCGTCGACGTGGACTTTGGCCGGATGAAGAGGCCAGGGAGGGATCCATAAGACTGGCAAAGCAAGCAAGCACCGGAGAGGAGCAGGGCGGACGCGCCGAGCCACGGCCAGGGCCGAGCCACGGCCACGGCCAGGGCCGAGCCACGGCCACGGCCAGGGCCGAGCCACGGCCAGGGCCAGGGCCGAGCCACGGCCAGGGCCAGGGCCGAGCCACGCCCGGAGCAACAAATAACAGCATAAAAGTGCTATAACCCTCAATAAATTTACTTCTATTTGTTTACTTCTATTGTTCTTAAAAAGCAAAAAAGTTATGCTGCAGCGGGGTTCGAACCCTCGACACACCGCATCGGAGACAGACGTCAATTTGCATGCGAAAACCAAACAGAACTTATACTCGCGACTTTAGGGTAAATAACTTTCACTAAAAATTAGTTTTGCAAAAGTTGAATGCAAATACGGTTTGCACCATTGGAAAGCTCTAGATTTTCTTTGCAAAATCGTTGTCATCAATTTCAAAAAAGCTTTCGTTTTTGGGGTTTTTTCGAGAGCGAGAGCAAAGGCGAATAGAAAAAAAATTGAAGAATTTCACTTTTCACAGTTTCCAAAACTCAAAGCGCAAAGTTGAAGTTTCAATTTTTCCTTTGGGTAATGATTTGGGTATTAATTATTGATTTAGACCAAAATTTGTCGTGATTTTTGATCTCAGCTCCATCCTCACCTCCACTCATGAGCGGCTGTTCGTTTCCACGCAATTGCATCCGGAATATGCAAATCCGAGAGCTCACACAAATCCACCAATGGCGCCAACAGGCGAGCCGTGTCGTTCATCTGAATTTAAGAAATCAGTTAAATTTTAAGTCTGATTTTCGAAAAAAAAACACTCAGCGACAAGGACATTTTGTGTAGCTTGAAGAGAAATCAAATCGATTTGCTCAATGCATCGTTTGAGGTCAATGCATCGTTTGTGGTCAATGCATAATTTTTTTTTTTTTTTTTTTTTAAATAAATAATAAATTTTTTTTAAAAAATTTTATATAAAATAATATAATTTTTTTTTTTTTTAAATAAATATTTTTTTTTTAATAAAAAAAAAAATAAAAAAATAAAAAAAAAATAAAAAAAAAAAAAAAAAAAAAAAAAAAAAAAAAAAAAAAAAAAAAAAAAAAAAAAAAAAAAAAAAAAAAAAAAAAAAAATAAAAAAAAAAAAAAAAAAAAAAAAAAAAAAATTTAAAAAATTTTAAAATAAAAAAAAATTTAAAAAAATAAATTTTTTATTTTTTTTTTTTTTTTTTTTTTTTTTATTTTTTTTTATATTATAAAAATTTTTTTTTTTTTTTTTTTTTTTTTTTTTTTTTTTTTTTTTTTTTTTTATTTTTTTTTTTTTTTTTTAAAATAAAATTATAATAAATTAAAAATAAAAAATTTTTTAAAAAAAAAAAATTTAAAAAAAAAAAAAAAAAAAAAAAAATAAAAAAAAAAAAAAAAAAATAAAAAAAAAAAAAAAAAAAAAAAAAAAAAAAAAAAAAAAAAAAAAAAAAAATTAAAAAAAAAAAAAGGTGTTTATCTTCTGTTTGCCACTTTTAAATACATTTATTGAATTCCGTAAAAGAAAAAAGCTACTTAATAATTAACAAGGATTGATCGGTTGATCAAGTAGATTCATCGAAACGAAGCCATCAAGCCCTTTAAGCCACCAGGTCGATCCATCCACTTATTCAATAAATCTATTCAGTCAATCTATCCATCATTGCCTGAATAAAGTTCATCCGTCAATAAATCATGTTTCAAAGTAATGCATAATTGCATACTGGTCTAGCTGGCAATCTTGCTTTATGAACATTATGAGTTAATCCTCATTTGACTTTGATTCAACTTAAACCAAACTGAATGACGAAAAATGCAAACAGGGCACGATTTTTGGTTAGTATTTCACATGTTTCTTAGAACATTTACACTCGTTACGTAGAGGAGTTGCTCGGTCAGCTCGATTTCTATGGTTTCAAGCTAAAATTTCCCTAATTGCTTCATTTCAAAGATTTCAAAGTCATGTTTCAAAATAGTCAAATCTAGAACATTCGCGACGAAACGGCTTCTATGTAAACCATATTGAAGCCATATTGGAGCCATAGAACCATATCGGAACCATATTGGAACCATAGAACCATAGAACCATAGAACTGAACCGTACTTGGATTTAGCACTTTTTTTTGACGACGATTGGGCTGAAAATTTGCAATCAGGGGTTTTCTGGGATGAGGAATTTGTATCCGTTATTAGTTTTTAAAGAAAACTACTTTTAGAGAGTTTTTTGATGATAATTTTACGACCAGTTGAGAAATTTGACTTTCTTTTGTCTTTTTCACTATTTTCTCTGCTGTTTTCAAAACAAATTTTTTTTATTTTAGTGGTGGGCAAAAGGAAGCAACTTTCCGATAAAGGGGATGATCGAAGCGATGAATAAAGCTGCGGACAGCTATCGAGAAATTGCCAGGAAAATCGGCTGTTCACACCAATTGATCACCAATCGTTTACACCAACCTATCTCGTTACGTTTATGGCACAATGAAACATGAGGGACGAAAGCCGAGCACTACAAAGCGCCAACAACGACTAATCATTTGAGAAGCCTCAAATTCGACATTGGCTTCTCCCCAAACCTTTTAGCTAAGCTAGGCTGAGCTAGGCTAAGCTAGGCTGAGCTAGGCTAAGCAAGGCTGAGCTAGGCTGAGCTAGGCTGAGCTAGGCTAAGCTAGGCTAAGCTAGGCTAAGCTAGGCTAAGCTAGGCTAAGCTAGGCTAAGCTAGGCTAAGCTTTTAGTTTAAAATTTTGAACATTTATAGTATCTAACCGTAAAACAATTCATTTTCTCATTTGCTAACACGGTGTCCCAATTGGTAGTCTGTAAAGTAATCTAAAATCATTCTACATTGTTTTCTGTTCTCTCATTCATTTTTCCTTAGCTTCTATTAGTTTAATTATTCAATTTTTAGAGGATTTTGATCATATTGGCCGTAATCGAATCAAGCTGGGGACAGCTATCAAGAAGTTGATAGGAAAATCGGCTTCTTACACCAATTGATCAGTGCCTATCTCGTTAGATCAGTGATCGTTAGAGTGTGTTAGAGTTTAGAGTGTGTTAGAGTTTAGAGTGTGTTAGAGTTTAGAGTGTATTCCTCACGAGTAATGCGTTTTTTTAAACGCACACTTTGGCAAAATTATCGTACTTTTAGCGAAAATTATTGCAAAAAATCACGAGCGACGAAAATTGTCGATTTTTCTCTTTGTATAACTCCGTTCGTTTGTTTTCACAAGCTCTGATATGTCAAAATTTCGATTCTACGCCCTAAAATTACCTAGAAAAACAACTTTTGGAATAGAAATTGGTTATTAGCTATATTAGCTTTTTAGAGCTTTTTTAAAACGCGAAAAAAGGTGCACTAATGGGCAAGGTGCGGAAAAAAAGGTGCGCAAATGTCCGGGTGCGCAAAAAAAAGGTCGCATTTGTCCCACTCCCAAAATTATTGCAAAAAAATCACGAGCGACAACTTAGATACGACTCTTTTTAAAGGTATTCAACCGTTTAACTGATTTGGTGGCGAATTCCCTTACACGTGTAAAGATATTCAATTTACGCGACGTGTAAAGAGGATTGCTCGTAGTTAATTGACAAAAAATGACGATTAATCGAGTAAGAATTATTGATGCAAATTTTACTCAATTACTGGGACTCAACTTACTCGCGAACACACTTTAGTTACGGTTATGGCAGCAAGAAACATCGAGCATTGGCTCGCAAATTAAAGATACTCAAAAACTAATAACGGATTCAGATTCTCTATCCCAGAATGCCTTTGGTCACAAATTTTCACGTCTACAGCTAACAGCCGTCGTCCGAAATGGCAACCAAGCCGAAAATGACTTTTTCGTCAATGTGTTGATGGTGGTTATCGACGATTCCTCGCCTACATATTCAAATTGATAAAGTGAACAGTTTCGAGCTGTTAATTGTTTTACAAAATTTCTCCTCTTACCAAATCCTCGAAGCAAATCGGATCAATCGCCAAATATGGGGTGCAATGTTCGAGCGCAATCTGCGAGCCAATAAACAACGCTGCGGCCAGCTCGAAACCGTCCTGAAAATGGCGAAAATAAAATCTTCTCATTTAAAACATCAATTTTGAATCTATTTGAATCTATTCTTTTGAATGTTTAAGTTTAATAAAAGGTTTTTCAGAGAATTAAAGCCAACTCTAAATGAAATCTGATCTAGTCTGATCTGATCGAACTCGAATGCTGTATTGCTGCTTGGTTTTCATGAGATAGGATAATCGAATCGATTTCTATTTAGTGTCATTCGAAAGCCTGAAACGTTCTCTATACAATGATATAAAAAGTTAATAATAATATTATCTCTGGGTAAAGTTATAGGCCATCAAAAAAGGCTCGAATTTTGATCAAAAACGCGAAACTTTTAAAAGAAAAATAACAGGAAAACATAGAAATTTTTTATTTCAATCATTTTTAAATATAATACTTCAATCCCTTTCAATAAAGATTAAAGAAAAAGAAAATAAAGATTCAATAAAGATTACGAGAGATTTCTTGCATAAAAGCTGACCAATTTGAAACAAGATCTTTGAAATAAAGCAAACAATAGCTTAGCTAAAGTATTGATGGTTTTACCAGCTTTTCCTTGTTGGTTTTAACAGCTTTTCCTTGTTTTACCAGCTTTTTCTTGTTTTACCAGCTTTTCCTTGTTGGTTTTACCAGCTTTTTCTTGTTTTACCAGCTTTTTCTTGTTCGTTTTACCAGCTTTTTTTTGTTTTATCAGCTTCCAAACTTTAAAGAACAGTTTTTTTAAAATTATTGCAATAAACCAATCTTTGACTAATCCAGGAACTGATATTAAGAACTCACTTTTTCACTCACTATGATAGATTCTTTTTTGAATCTGTTTTTATCTAAATTTCATAGCCATTTTCTTCTCACTTGTCGAATTGAATTGGTCTACGGATTTAGATTCAAAAAAATCTATCATAGTGCTGAAAAAGCGAGTTCTTAATATCAGTTTTAAGTTCCTAGATTAGCCAAAGATTGGTTTATTGCAATAATTTTTTAAAAAAACTGTTCTTTAAAAAGTCGTAGACCAATTCAATTCGACAAGTGAGAAGAAAATGGTTATGAAATTTAGATAAAAACAGCCTATAAGCCCGAATTTTCATTTAGTAGTTGAGAATTTTAAAAAAAATACCGACTGGGGCTACCAGTTGTGAATTTATCGCATACACGAAATATATCAATCACAATACAACGACACACACAATACTAGGCTATATCTTAACTTAACCCACGTCATGACAGACGGCTCCCTAACCCTAAGCTCAATGGGGAACTAAATAGCTTTTTTGGTGGTGAAGGGAAGATGACGATGAAGGAGTGGCTTGTCACTTTAAAGAACTGGGGCCACAACCACCAGACTGCCCTCCAGAAAACCTCTCAACCCGAAGGGAAAGGAAATCCGGAGGGGGTGACCATGTCGCATGTGGGGTTCGAACCCTCGACCTTCCGATTAAGATAAAAGACACTTAACCAGTCAGCCACACGTGCTCTTTGAAATTTGAAAGAAGATTTTTGAAAATGATTGTGAGTTGAAATTGAGTTGAGTTGATAGTGAGTTGAGTTGAGTTGAAATTGAGTTGAGTTGAAATTGAGTTGAGTTGATAGTGAGTTGAGTTGAAATTGAGTTGAGTTGAAATTGAGTTGAGTTGAAATTGAGTTGAGTTGAAATTGAGTTGAGTTGAAATTGAGTTGAGTTGAAATTGAGTTGAGTTGAAATTGAGTTGAGTTGATAGTGAGTTGAGTTGAGTTGAAATTGAGTTGAGTTGAAGTTGAGTTGAGTTGAAGTTGAGTTGAGTTGAAAACTCTGACTTTGAGTTGAAACCAGGCGAGTCGCAATCAACATTAAATGTTTAGATTCAAAGAAAAATAACCCACAAATTGAAACTTGATTTTTTTTTCAACAAACCATCCACAAACCTTAGGTCCAACTTGTTGCACGGATCGCATTTGCATCAATGTCCATCTCGAGATCGTCTCGGACAACCACGGGAACTCGATTCGCATTCGAGAAAGCTAAAAAAATAAATTAAGAATACAATTTGTTTAAGTTGTTTAAAATTTAGCCATTAAACTTTAAGCATTAAGCTTTGGAAGCTAATTAGCTAATTAGGCAAGGTTATAAGCCAACTTAAACGGGTTGGAGTTTGAGAAATGGTCTATAATTCTATAATTCTATAATTCTATAATTCTATAATTCTATAATTCAATAATTCAATAATTCTATAATCCTATATCCTATAATTCTATAATTCTATAATTCTATAATTCAATAATTCTATATTCCTATAATTCTTCTCTTTGTTTCTCTCAGATTCTTTCAAGCATTCAGTTCAGTTTTTTTTTATTCTTTAATGACTTGTTAAAACAAACCATTTGAAAGACATTTGTTTCGTGACTCGTTCGCAGAATCAGCTTCGACACAGCGACATCGGGTGAACGAGTTGTGACGACACAGTGGAGAATCGAGGGGACAGCTGTGTGCAGATACGGGATCAGACGGGATGAGTTAAGGCTAAATAAGGATATTGAAAGTTGTTAGTTTAAAAATTTGAAACATTTATTCACAAATTGGAACTCATTGAAATTGGAACTCATTGAAAGACTGATAAAGCTTAATTGCAGGCAAAGCAAGGGAAGGGAAGGGAAGGCAAGGCAAGACAAAGCAAGGCAAGACAAGGCAAGACAAGGCAAGACAAGGCAAGACAAGGCAAGACAAGGCAAGACAAGGCAAGGCAAGGCAAGGCAGCAAACCAAGCCTTACCTGGCTTTTGCAATTCTCACAAGACAAGATAGGCCAATACTCAACTAATCTCAATAACTAATCACTGATTGGACAAAGCACAACTAATTCTCTTTCTAATTTAAGCCAAAGTGAAAAATGGCTTAACTTTGACTTAGCTCAGCCTCGATTTGAGCTTTTAGCCTAACAATAGAAACAACTCTAAGCTAATCTGTACTCATCTACTTGCTGACTACAAAAGAAAACAGTAATTTCACTCACCGGCATTTATAAACGATCGTTTGATCGTTTTTCTGATGATGAAGCGAGAAACGGAGAGAGGTCAACGCGAGTCGCTTCACGATTTCCACGGAGAGTTTCTCGGAGAGAAGCGACAATGAGGTGATCACTGGAGGCTCTCCGTAAACGCATAGGTTTCTGAAATAGACAAAGAATATAGTTTAAACTAATACCCAAGTTATATTCAGATCTAACCATCAGAAATTCTCTCGTAAAAAATTGTTACTTTATGAACAAAACCGTTCTTTAAAACACCAGCCTGTAAAGTGAAAATTAAAATTTCTAATCGTTCTAATCGTTCTAATGGTTTTTCCTAAACCGTGTCTTCTTTCTCTTTCTATCTTGGAAAGAGTATTACTCCAAGATTACTTTCCAAGTAATCTTGGAAAGCGAAAGAGGAGAGGTTTTAGACGCACTGATATGTTGGATCACAGGCTTGAAGCATTCTTGCCACGACTGTTCCACCACTGCACGGCGTGGAATGAATGAAGACAACTCGACTCGCAAATGGTGGCAAACGGCCGGATCGCTCGATGAATGTCTGGAAAATATTCCAATATCCGAATATTTGGGTTTCAAATATTCGGCTACAAATTGTGAGAAATATATCCAATTAGTGCAATGCAATCTAATGGAAAAAGCAAGTACAGATTAGGCCAAGACAAGGCCAAGTTTGGGACCAAAGTTCCCAGGCCAAGCCAAGGCCGAGCCAAGGCCGAGCCAAGGCCGAGCCAAGGCCGAGCCAAGGCCGAGCCAAGGCCGAGCCAAGGCCGAGCCAAGGCCGAGCCAAGGCCGAGCCAAGGCCGAGCCAAGGCCGAGCCAAGGCCGAGCCAAGGCCGAGCCAAGGCCGAGCCAAGGCCGAGCCAAGGCCGAGCCAAGGCAAGTCAATTTTTCAGTTTTGACTGGATACAATAGATAATATATCTAATATTGATTCAGCTTCCTTCTCTCTAAGACTATTAGCAAGTGGTTCACTTAATCATTGTAGATGATCTATTTCCCTTGTAAAATTGGTTTCAAAGTTCAAAACGGTTACAGAACTGGAGATAGGAGACTGGACGCTACCCTTACAGTACCCTTATACTTACAGTACCCTTACACTTAAAGTATCCTTACAGTATCCTAGAACTGCGCTAAAAATCTCCAATCTTTCAAAAAACTCACATCAATTCGAACCCTGGCCGCTTTCTCTGCGCATCCCAACAGGAAATCACCCATTTTTGTGTATCGATCGATGGTGCATCTATTCGCAAAAATTGTTATTGATTTCTTTCTTTTCTTTCTTTCTTTCTTTCTTTCTTTCTTCTTCCCTCTTCTTTCTTTCTTTCTTTTCTTTCTTTTCTGTCTTTCTTTCTTTCTCTCTTTATCTTTGTTATCTGTTTTCTTTATCAACTCACTCAGTGTCGGGAACTTTCACCAAATAGACATGACTATCATCAATATCATAAATAATCCATTCGGGAAGCAGAATCGATGAAAATGTGGTGAATGTGTCGTGAAAAACGATGAAATCACAGGCACGCGCACAATCGTTGATATCGAAGCGAAATCTGGAATGTTTGAGTCTCAAATTGAACAAGAGCTTGGCTAAATCTAGCACTTTAATCCTGGGATAATCCATCTTTTTATGTAAAACATAAATTAAGTTTTCATTCTGGATTTCGTTGTCGTTGGTATAACGAAATCTGAAATGCTAGTTTCAAACTATATCAAGTGAAGAAAAAGTTTCTAGGATAATGAATCGTATTGTTCACTAGCATGGCTAGATAAAAGTATCGAGTCTCATTGTTAGCTGATCTGTTAGCATGTAGTTCAAGGTACCGTATTTTCTCTAATAGCAGTGCACCCAGCCGAGTTGATGACTATTTTACGGTTTCCAAGTTTTCGCAGAAGCTCAACACTCAAATCCCCCACAAGATCTCATCGTCAGCTACATTTTCCGACCTCACATCGATAGCTTCTGGTAAGCGGTTCTCGAGATTTCGAGGAATTTAGGCGAAGCTTAGGGTACTATTAGAGAGAATATTGTTAAAAATGGGCTCATTCCGCGTCTTTTTTAGTCAGTCTTTTCTTCCCCATGGTTACTGTATCCTCTCTAATAGTAGTGCACCCCGGTGAGCCGAGTTGATGACTATTTTACGGTTTCCAAGCTTTTGCAGAGGCTCAACACTCAAATCACCCTCAAGATCTCATCGTCAGCTACATTTTCCGACCCCACATCGATAGGCTCTGATAAGCGGTTCTCGAGATTTCGAGGAATTTAGGCAACGCTCACGGTGCACTACTATTAGAGAGAATACGGTATATCAGATTACGAAAAAGTATTCTAGGATAATGAATCGTAACTGTTCACTAGTATGACTAGATAAAAGTATTGGATCTCATTGTTAGCTCTGCTTAGATCATTGTTAGCTTAGATCTGATCAAAAGCATATAGTTCAAGATAATAAATTTCGTGTTTTTTTTTGTATAAATTACAATGATTAGAATGAAATTAAATATTAAATAAATGAAAGCTGAGTTTAAACCTAAATCAGAGCAATGAAACTCGATTTGTTGCTCTGGTTTAACTGGTTTAACTGGTGTTAACTCTTGAATCTTGAATAAAAAATAGAGTTTGAACATTGAAAATGAAGCTCGGCGCCAGGATCAACTACAATGATTAGAATGAAAGCATCAACTTTACCCGATGCTTTGCGGTTTAAAAGAAAAGTCGACCGACAGATTTTTTTCTTTTTAATATTATTCCAATAAATTAAGGGATGAATAAATTTATACTATAAAACTATGAAGAAAATTATAGGGTTAAGTAGGCTGGTTACAACAAAGTTACAAAGTTACAAAGTTACAACAAAGAACTCTTGTTGTAATTTGCTCAATCCTGTATTTTTCAACCCAAACAGCATCAAAGGCAAGCAATGGCCGTCGAGTTTGACTCAATTTCTTCAAATCTTTATGTATTGGGTTGTCCAGTTGAATGTCCAGCGTTCCAGAATGCGCGTTTTTACTATTTTGTAAATTTCTCAAGATATCGAACAGATTTAAATGAGTGTTATATATCATTCAAAAGCTGAACATCTCCTCTACATTTTGATATAAAAAGCTTTGGGATTTGTTTCAGCTTTTGGGCAAATTGACTGCACAAAGGGGGAGGTCGTTTTCTAAAAATTCCTCAAGTTAGCTTAGCTCTTCCAGCTTAGCTCTTCCAGCTTAGCTCTTCCAGCTTAGCTCTTCCAGCTTAGCTCTTCCAGCTTAGCTCTTCCAGCTTAGCTCTTCCAGCTTAGCTCTTCCAGCTTAGCTATTCCAGCTTAGCTATTCCAGCTTAGCTATTCCAGCTTAGCTATTCCAGCTTAGCTATTCCAGCTTAGCTCTTCCAGCTTAGCTCTTCCAGCTTAGCTCTTCCAGCTTAGCTCTTCCTCAAGTTTTATGGTGGAAAATAACAGCCCAAAAAAGAAAAGAAAAGTAAAGATGCTCTGAAATTGTTATATTTTAAAAAAAGTTGTATTGATATATCTATTGGCCAAACACCAAACGGTTAACTCAATTTGAGCGGAGCCAAAACTTGATCCAAAGGCACCCTTCCATTTTTTGGCCACCTCTTCTTCTGTGCAGTCAATTTGCCCAAAAGCTGAACAAATTCAAAAACGTTTTTATATCAAAATGTAGAGGAGATCTTCAGCTTTCAAATAATACTCATATATATCTTTTTCTTCATTTTGGTATCTTGTGAAATTTACAGAATAGTAAAAAACGCGCAAATTTCGCTTTTGATTTTGATTTTGATATGAATTTTGACTTAAAACTTGGGAAATTAGGATTATTTTATTATTGATAGTCGATATAGAGTAGTTTATCATTGAAATGTTGACCAAATTCAAAACTAACATAAATTCACCTTGTCAAAATGTGCAAACTCTCGACATCACATGGCTCACAAGTGCACAAGCGTTTGACGGACGCCAAGAAATCCGATTCTAACTGAATTTCGAAAAAAATCATCAAGATTCAGGTTTTAATTTCAATTCTCAAGCAATTACTGCATCAACCTGAGCCAGCTTCACTAAAAAGAAACTAGGATTTTCTGAAACTAGGAAATTCCGATTTTTTTGTAGGTGATACGGCCCTCCAACCAGTTTACACACTTTCTAGAGAACAGAAATCTCCTCTAGCTTTCGCCAACATTGCTATGGCCAAGTAAAAGTTTGTTGTTTTGTTGTTACTAAAATTTCCATTCTTCAGACTCAACTATTTGTTTATGGACGAGCCCATTAACCATCTTGACGTCGAAACTGTGGAAGAGCTTGGAAGAGCTTGGAAGAGTTGTGGAATAGCTTGGAAGAGCTTGGAAGAGCTTGGAAGAGCTTGGAAGAGCTTGGAAGAGCTGGAAGAGTTGTGGAAAGCTTGGAAGAGCTGGAAGAGCTTGGAAGAGCTTGGAAGAGTTGTGGAATAGCTTGGAAGAGCTTGGAAGAGCTTGGAAGAGCTTGGAAGAGCTGTGGAAGAGCTGTGGAAGAGTTGTGGAAGAGCTGTGGAAGAGCTGTGGAAGAGCTGTGGAAGAGCTTGGAAGAGCTTAGAAGAGCTTGGAAGAGCTGTGGAAGAGCTTGGAAGAGCTTGGAAGAGTTGTGGAATAGCTTGGAAGAGCTTGGAAGAGCTTGGAAGAGTTGGGGAAGGCTGTGGAAGAGTTGTGGAAGAGCTGTGGAAGAGCTGTGGAAGAGCTGTGGAAGAGCTTGGAAGAGCTTAGAAGAGCTTGGAAGAGCTGTGGAAGAGCTGGAAGAGCTGGAAGAGTTGTGGAATAGCTTGGAAGAGCTTGGAAGAGCGGAAGAGCTGAAGAGCGGAAGAGCTTGGAAGAGTTGTGGAATAGCTTGGAAGAGCTTGGAAGAGCTTGGAAGAGCTTGGAAGAGTTGTGGAATAGCTTGGAAGAGCTTGGAAGAGCTTGGAAGAGCTGGAAGAGTTGTGGAAGAGCTGTGGAAGAGCTGTGGAAGAGCTGTGGAAGAGCTGTGGAAGAGCTTGGAAGAGCTTAGAAGAGCTTGGAAGAGCGTGGAAGAGCTTGGAAGAGCTTGGAAGAGTTGTGGAATAGCTGGAAGAGCTTGGAAGGCTTGGAAGAGTGTGGAAGAGCTGGGAAGAGCTGGAAGAGCTGTGGAAGAGCTGTGGAAGAGCTTGGAAGAGTTGTGGAATAGCTTGGAAGAGCTTGGAAGAGCTGTGGAAGAGCTGTGGAAGAGCTTGGAAGAGCTTGGAAGAGCTGTGGAAGAGCTTGGAAAAGCTCTCAACAAGTTCAATGTAGGTTCTTTTTCAGTGACCGTTAAAGCATAGCGAACTTTTAGGGAGAAGTGGTTCTCGTTTCCCAAAAAACATCAAGATTCAGGTTTTAATTTGAATTTTCAAGGAATTACTGCATCAACCTAAAGAGCCAGCTTCACTAAATTGAAACTAGGATTTTTTCAAATCCAGATTTCAAATTTTTTCCTTTTACTATTACTATTACTAAATTTCTTTTTAGGCTTAAAATTTACAGTTTGAATGCTCTTTTTTAGCGTTTACTTACCAGAACAATCGCTCGTACAAGTCGATAAAGGAGATAAAGAAGAAATTTGAGCGGAAAAATCATCGTCCCCAATCGAGATTTTTCCTCTGCAGCTTCTCCGATCTCTGACAAGTCTTCGGTCATTCTTTTTTCTCAGATCTTCTTCGAATTCTCGATTACATGAACTAAATTTTGACTTTTAAGGCTAAGAAATCAAATGTGAACGACTTTTCGAAGAGTTTAACCTTTAATTGATGAAAAAGTGACACTTTTAAAGAGAGCAAAGTGAAGGAAATTGGTTTAACGTTGATAAGAGTTTGACGATGACGATGACGATAATAAATGTCGATAATAAGACATTCATAATCTTAATACTATTGAAATGTGTTTAAAAAAAGAGATTTCAAAGCTAATTTGAATATTTTAGAACAATTGGCGAGCCTTTCTGAAAGCTAAATGATGAGCTATTGGGTTGGTGAATTGAAAACTGCGGGACTTTGAAGTAAAATTTATTCAACATAAAACCATGAATTCATTCCAAATAATTTCCATTATTATTGACGACTTCTGCCCATTTTAAAGGCAATTTGCGGATTCCTCTTTCGTGGTAGGATTTTGGTTTGTGTGTGGTTTGTGTGTGAGACAAGTGTGAGACTCAAAAATCGAGGACTGGAGATGTCCCAGTTTGAGCATTTGAGCA